ACTTTGAAAAATAGGGGTTACTCCCTCTATTTATAACTGAGCTTACACCCTAATCCCAAAGCCCAAAATATCTTTTTGTTACTAAATCAAATCAAATCAAATCTATTATGGACTTAAATCAAATCTATTTGAATCTAAAATAAATCAAATCTTCTTTGATACTATGAATTACAATTTAACACACCACCTAATTCATTGTGTCTAAATTGTCTATGTTCATCATGGCTCTTAGCTTTCTGAATACTTCGACTTGCACTCCCTTCGTCATGATGTCTGCAATCTGATTCTCAGTTCTGCAGTGTTCCAAATTCATCTTCCCATCTGCTACCTGCTCTCTAAGATAATGGAATCTCATTTCGATGTGCTTACTTCGACCATGTGCTATTGGGTTCTTTGCCAGATTAATAGCTGGCATGCTGTCTATCTTCATGGTAATTGCTCCATGATTTTTCTCTGTTATCTCTTCGACCAAGTTCACCATCCAAGTTGCTTGACATGCACAAAGAGAAGCAACTATGTATTCTGCTTCGCATGATGATAATGCCACTACTGGTTCCTTTCTTGAATTCCAAGCAATTGGTGCACCACCTAGCATAAACACATATCCTGCTGTTGACTTTCGATCTTCAGCATCACTACACTAACTCGAATCAGTGTATCCCACTAACTTGCATTTTTTTCCTTTATCAACTGCAGAAAACAAAATGCCATAATCTAAAGTTCCTTTGAGATACCTTAGTATCCTCTTCACTGCTGCTAGATGTGATACCTTTGGATTCTGCATAAATCTACTTACCATACCTACACTGTATGCTAAGTCAGGCCTTGTATGACAAAGATATCTTAATGATCCAATAAGTCTTTTGTATTGGGTTGGATCAACATCATCTTCATCTGCATCTTTCGACAGTTGCAGTCTTGGTTCTGCAGGTGTCGAAGTTGAGTTGCATTCTTCCATCTCAAACCTCTTGAGAATTTCTCCTGCATATCTTCTTTGATGCATCATCAAACCTATACTGCTCTTGTAGAATTCGATACCAAGGAAATATGAAATCTCACCCAAATCAGACATTTCGAATTCCTTGCTGAGATCACCTTTGAAGTCTTCGATCTCACTTTTACAGCTACATGTTATCAACAAATCATCTACATAGAGACATAGTATAAGCAATTTACTCTTGCTTCTTCTTACATATACTCCATGTTCAGTTGTGCACTTCACAAATTCCTTCTCCCTTAGAAAACTATCAGTTTTCTTATTCCAAGCCCTTGGAGCTTGTTTCAATCCATACAGGGCTTTATGTAGCCTGTACACCTTTCTTTCTTCGTCATGTTTCACAAACCCAACTGGTTGTTTAACATAGACTTCTTCATCTAAGGGTCCATTTAGGAATGCACACTTCACGTCCATCTGACATATGTGCCAACTATTGATTTCTGCTAGACCAACAACCAGCCTGATTGTTTCGATCCTAGCAACAGGTGCAAAGACTTCGTCAAAGTCTATTCCTTCTTTATGTAGAAATCCTTTCGCCACAAGTCTTGCTTTGTGTCGAGTTACTTCACCTTTCGAATTCGTTTTCACTTTGTATACCCACTTGACATCAATTGCCTTCTTGCCTTGAGGCAATTCGACAAGTGACCAAGTGTTGTTGTCTTCGATAGACTTTACTTCTTCGTTCATTGCTTTCACCCACTTCGAATCTTTTAATGCTTCAGCTGCATTAACAGGTTCGACATATGCATAGAAAGCATAATGTACCAGCTCACCTTCATTATCTATTACATCATATGATGTAATCACACAATCTTGAAATCTTGCAGGCATGCGTCTTGTTCTTTGAGGTCTGCTTGTACTTGGTATATCTATTGGTTCCTCTTGTTGAACTTCTCTTTCGACTTGAGTTTCTGGCTCTTCGAATAGGATTCCCACTGAATCTTTCTTGACATTTGCAGTCCAATCCCATTCTTTAAACTCATCTATGATCACGTCCCTGCTGATCACAATCTTCTTGTTCTCTGGATCGAACAACTTGTAGCCTCCTGTCGAATGATATCCAACTAGGATCATTTGACTTGACTTATCATCAAGTTTTCTTCTCAACTGATCTGGCACATGTCTATATGCAATAGATCCAAATACCTTCAGATGACTCAAGCTAGGCTTCACACCAGACCAACATTCTTCTGGAGTAATTCCTTCTAGCTTCTTTGTAGGACATTTGTTCAAAATGTATGTTGCAGTCGAAACAGCTTCACCCCAGAACTCTTTAGGTAAACTCCTGCCTTTCAACATACTTCTCACCATATTCATGATGGTTTTATTTTTCCTTTATGCAATTCCATTTTGTTGTGGAGTATAGGGTGGCACCACCTCATGCATAATCCCTTCCTTTTCACATAATCTGTCGAAGTCTTTCGACACATATTCTCCTCCACCATCAGTTCTTAAAACTTTGAGCTTTCGACCACTTTGTCTTTCGACCATAAACTTAAACCTGGTAAATACTTCGATCACTTCACTTTTCTTCTTGATCAGGTAAGTCCATAACTTTCTACTGAAATCATCTATGAATGTAACAAAGTATTTGTTACCTCCCATCGAATCCACCTGGATTGGTCCACATACATCAGAGTATATGACTTCAAGACTAGCCTTCGATCTGCTTCCTGCATCCTTGCTGAAGCTATTCTTGTATTGCTTCGCCTGCACACATTCTTCACATACTTCGTTTGGAATGTCAATTTCAGGCAATCCTGAAACCATATTTCTTCTCTTCAAATCTCTGATGTCTCTGAAGTTGAGATGACCTAGTCTATAATGCCATATTCATTCATCTCTGCTAGCTGCAGTCGAAAGGCACTTGTGCTCCATCACATTTAGTTCAATCTTGAAGGTTCGATTCTGAGACATAAGAGCCTTCAAGATTAATCTCCCATTTGCATCAACGACTCTCATCAACTTATCTTCGATTGACACTTTATAATTCTTTTCGACCAACTGCCCTATACTGAGCAAATTGCTCTTCATGCCTGGTATGTACAACACATTGGAGATTACTGACCTTTTGCCATCTTTCCTCATGATCATAACATCACCAATACCTTCAGCTGCTAGGGTATTGTCATTTGCAAATTTTACCATATTTTTCTTTGAGGGCTTTATATTGACAAACCAGTCTTTCCTTCCAGACATATGTGATGAACATCCTAAATCCAAGTACCATTGGTCCTTGAATCTATCTTCATCTCTTGTTGTGATCATCAGCATCATCTCTTCTTCTTCATGTTTTGCAAGCTTTGCATCACTTTCTTGATTCTTTTGTTTTTCTGGACAATCACTCGAATAGTGTCCATATTTTTGACAATTGTAACATTGAATGTGACTCTTATCAGGTTTTCGACCACCACCTCTTCCTCTATTTGCAACACCACCTCTTTGGTTGCCTTGGTATGGTCTTCTTTGATTCGACATGTCTCCTTCGATTTGGTTTCCTCTACCATTCAATTTGTTGTAGCCACCTCTACCTCTGTCGAAACACTTTCCTTTGCCTTTGGTCTCTTTTGCTGAATGTGCCTGCAAGGCCACATCACTCTTCGATTTTTCCTGCAGCTCTTTCGTTCATTCTTTGTTCATGAGATTCAAGCGTCCCTTGAAGCTCTTCCTTTGTCAATTTCGATAAGTCTTTCCCCTCTTCTATCTCCACCACTATGTGGTCGAACTTAGGAGCTAAAGATCTCAAGATCTTCGACACAACAGCTCTTATTGTTAACGCTTCTCCACATATCTTGATTTGATTTACTAGTTTTGTAACTCTAGTGAAGAAATCAGATATGTTTTCACCGTCTTCCATCTGAAGCAATTCATAGGTCCTTTTGTGAGTTTGTAACCTCACTTCTTTCACCTTCTCAGCGCCTCCAAAAGACTTCTCAAGGATCTCCCAAGCTTCTTTTGCAGATTCTGAATCACTAATCTTTTCGAAATTGTCTGGGCTGACACATTGATGAATTATAAATAATGCTTTATAACTCAGCTTCTCAGATTCTGTGTATTTCTTCTTTTCTTCTTCTGAAGCGTTTTCGCCAAGCGCTTCGACTCCATCTTTTACAAGGTCCCAAAGACCTTGACACCTTAATAGGACTTTCATCTGTTTGCACCAATTCTCATAGTTGTCAACATTCAGAATTGGCAGCGTTGCTGGATAGTTTGCATTCCCATAACTTGTCATCGTGAATTCTTCAATCGTTCTTGATTGACACTTCCCTTGAATCGAAACAAAAGCTCTTGATACCAGATATTGGAAATTCACCTAATACTATGATGAATTTCGACCATAGTGATGATTAGTTATGAGAAAAACAAATAAAAGAAGACAAGATAATTATCTCTGCAGAGTTTCTCTCTGCCCACAAATTGTGGAAAACTTTCTTAATCACTTGCAACTACAAATTCTGTGATTACAATGAATTGTCTTGCTTGACTTGCTTTACTTACTTTGAAAAATAGGGGTTACTCCCTCTATTTATAACTGAGCTTACACCCTAATCCCAAAGCCCAAAATATCTTTTTGTTACTAAATCAAATCAAATCAAATCTATTATGGACTTAAATCAAATCTATTTAAATCTAAAATAAATCAAATCTTCTTTGACACTATGAATTACAATTTAACATATCCAACAAAATGATCAATTTTGAGATATCCTGCAAGCAATACTTGTCCAAAAGTTGAATGTCCCCCAAGTCGTCGTTCCACCGGTTCCAAATATAACAACAATTAGAAAGCTTATCCTAAAACATAATGTTACTACTTAGAAATCTTACAGAAGCAATTTATATTCATCCCATACCCTTCAAATATTTTTGAATCAATTGTTCAGGCACTTTATAAGCTCTAACTACTGCTACTTTATTGGAATACATGTCTTCATCAAAATCTGATAGGATAAATCTACTTTTTTTAAGTTGGTTATCATCCAAAGGATCACAAGCAACTAACTTAAACAGAAAACCTAACTAAAGAATTAAGTAAGATAATCAACTTAAAAGCAATAACTATATCATTTCCAAATTTCTCAAGGGCCTTGTCCATGATTTCAATAGGGGGAACACTTGCAGGGTTCTTCGCTAATTGTTCAAAATCATCCTCTTCCTTCTCAAGAATCTCTGCAAATCAAGTAACATTCAAACATCTCAACATCATAATAACATTTAAGTAACTTCAACTAAGAATTTCTTTTTCAAAAACAACAATAAAACCCCCTCATTGTCAATATCATAATAACCTTAATCAAAGTAGGGTTTTACCTGCAAATCACAGTAGGGTTTTACCTACAAATCAAAGTAGGATTTTACCCCTTGTTAGAAGTCGAAGAGCAACAAATTGAAAAATCTCAAAATTGCAAAAAGAATCATAGTGAAATTTGCAGAAAACTAAAAAAGTCACAAATCAACCATTTCAAATCCGACACCACCAAACTCGTCGTCGGAAACCCGTTGCCTCTACCATAGATCTACCACCGTAAAACAACACACTGCTGTAAAACCGACGGAAATGCCAGATCCTGTCAAAAACATCAGATTCGTCAATGTATTCCACATTCTGGTTGGTTGCCCATGTATCCTTCTTGATTTTAGTTTCATCCATGTTTTTTGTTTTTGTTTGCAAGAGAGATGATTTTTTTTTGCAAGAGAGATGAGAGTGAGAAAATGAAGATGAATTGCAAATTAAGGTTCATTGCAAAGAGAAAAGTTGATGAAGAAAGTTGAGAGAATATGAAGTTGAGAGAGAGATAAGAAGATAGTCAAAGATAGAAGAAAGAGAAATAATAATAGTAAATGAAGAGATATAAGAAGAAATGATTTTATAAGTACAAAAGCAACATTGATATAAGAGAAAAAGTTAGAAAAAGTTGGAAAAATTGAAAAGCATGTTGGAAAAAAATTTATATTTTAGGAATGTCTTGTTGACTAAGTCTGCTAGATGGTATTTTAGTATTTTATTATACCCTAATATTATGTATAAATAGCCTAATAGTAGGTAGATTAATGTATTCATTACTCCTTATTTTATAGCCATCATTTAATATATTCCTTTTGTCTTTCATCTCTCCTTAGCAAAAAGTTTACCGACTGTGAAACAAGATACTCACTGCTCGAGAAAACTTGTCGCGCTTTAGCATAGGCTGCTCACCGACTAAGATAATATATGTTAGTTCATACTACCTTGTTGATCTCTAAAATGGATCCCATAAAGTACATATTCGAGAAACCCGCTCTCTCCGGAAGGATATCCCGATGGAAAATGGATTTAACAGAATACGACATTCAGTAAACCACTCAGAAGGCAATCAAAGGAAGTGTATTGGCAGATCATTTGGCTCATCAAGCCATAGAGGACTATAAATCTATGAATTTTGAGTTCCCGAATGAGAACATTATGCTAGTTACGGATTGTGAAAAACCCAAACCGTATGAAGGACCTGAACCAGGATCCCTATGTACTATGGTTTTTGACGGAGCTTCTAATGCGCTTGGTAATGGAATCAGTGTTGTGATTATCTCTCCCAAGGGTTACCATACGTTGTTTACCGCTAGATTATGCTTTGATTGTACCAACAAAATGGCAGAATACGAAGCGTGCATCATGGGCATCAAAGCTGATATCGGCCTGAGAATCAAGTTCTTGAATGTATACGGGGACTCAGCCTTAGTGATCAGTCAAATTAAGGGAGAATGGGATACAAAGCACCTGGATCTCATTCCTTATAGAGAGCATGTACGGACCTTAATCTCGGACTTAGAGGAAATAACTTTTGAGCATATCCCACGAGAAGAGAATCAATTGGCATACACATTGGCTACCATGTCATCTATGTTCAAAGTCAGATGGGACAACGAGGCTCCTCAAATTACTATCGAAAAACTAGATGAACCGGCACACTGCTACGAAGTTGACACTGACGGAGTAGAAGAGAAGCCCTGGTTTCATGAAGTGAATAGGTATCTTGAGGCTCAAAAGTATCCTGAAGGACCGTCTATAAATGACAAGAAATTCCTACATAGGTTCCCTGTTAAGTTCTTCCTGAGCAACAAAATTTTACGCAAGTGCAACCATGATTCGATTCTACTTCTTTGTGTGGATGAGAAGAAAGCCGAGAAAATTATGGAAGATATGCGCGAATGAGTCTTTGGTACTCATTCCAGTGGGTATACGATGGCTAAGAAGATTCTGAGAGCGGGCTACTATTGGTCAACTATGGAAACTGATTGCCATCACCACTCAAGAACTTGTCATAAATGCCAAATCGACGCTGACAAAGTACATGTGCCTCAGGCTCCTCTGAATATCTTGACTGCTCCTTGTCCATTTGCAATGTGAGGAATTGATATGATTGGAGAAATTAAGCCTACTGCTTCTAATGGGCATCATTTTATCCTTGTCGATATTGATTATTTCACAAAGTGGGTTGAAGCAGCCTCGTTTGCCTCTGTTACTAAGAATGTTATCGCCCGGTTCATTAAGCATAACCTTATTTGTCGGTATGGCATCCCTGAAAGGATTATCATAGACAATGGTACCAATATCAACAATACTATGATCACAGAACTCTGCATACAGTTCAAGATTAAACACCACAATTATTCTCTGTATCGACCGAAGATGAATGGCACAGTGGATGCTGCCAATAAGAACATTAAGAAGATTATACAGAAGATGACAGTGACATATAAATATTGTCACAAGATGTTACCATTCACTCTTCATGGCTATCGCACTTCAGTACGAACATCAACTATGGCAACCCCATTCTCTCTAGTCTATGGTATGTAAGTTGTCTTACCTGTCGAAATTCAGATTCCTTCTATAAGGATTATGAAAGACGCCAGTTTAGACGAAGATGAGTGGATTCATAATAGGCTGGACCAATTGAATTTGATTGACGAGAAAAGGCTTGTGGCTGTTTGTCACATTAAGATGTATCAAAGCGTATGATCAAAGCCTTCGGCAAGAAAGTTAAACATCGGGTATATCAGGCTGGTGACTTGGTAATAAAGCGCATCATCCTACCGCAAGGTGATCCCAGGGTAAAATGGACTCCCACCTACGAAGGTTCATTTGTAATCGAGAAAATATTTTATGGCGGTGCAATGATCTTACCACCATGGACGGTGAAGATCTTCCGCACCCTGTGAATGCAGACATAGTCAAAAGATACTACGCATAAAAGTAACCCGCTAGGATGACTGGCCTAGGAAAAAGTAAGGGAATCCCAACAAACCAAAAAGGTTCGGGCAAAAATTAGGGATATATATAAACATTTGTACACCCGACAAGTCGAAAACTTGAAAAGGCGGCTTGGGCAAAAAAGGGTATCCCGGTGGACTGAAAACCCGAAAGGGCGGTCCAAGAAAAAGTTAGGGATTAAAGCATATGACTATTGTTGTACCCCAAAATTTGCCCTCCCATATTCTTCAAAATTTGCAAAGAGCATGCTTCAAAATCTCTCAAGGGTTGCACAGTTCAAGGGCCTCCTAACAGTCAAAAACTAGGGTTTTGGTTCTGACAAAGAAATTGAAGTTTCCAAGGGTTCAATCAAGTCCCACGTGCCTACAGACATGGTCAAGCATCCTTATGTCAAGTTTCAAGACTTATAGCACAAAATTGCACAGTCAAAAACCCTAATTGCTCAACAGTCAACTGTAGGGGCAAAATGGTCATTTGACAGTCAAAAGTTCAAATTTTTGGTCAACATCTCATTTTGAAGCCACAAACATCATTTGATCAATTCTTGATCATGATTTTCAAGGTATGGCTCAAAAAGTCTCAAGATGCAAAAGTTTCCATATTTGGACAGTTGAAAAAGTCAACTGTAACTTGACCAAGGCATAACTTCCACATGGTTTATCATAAAAATTCCATCCAAAGCTCATTTTGAAGAGAAAGACATTTCCTACAACTCCTCTTCACACTTCAAGTCCAAGAAATGCTCTCACAAAAAGTTATCAATCTTAACATTATAGGTCATTTTCAAAAGTCAACAAAAAGGGACTTTAAGTCAAAGACCATAACTTGAGATTGGTAAATCAAAATGACATGGGACCAAAGGCATTGGTTATAGGACTTCAAGACCTTTCCAAAATGTCCAAGAACATGATCAAATCTTAAAAATTGAGCAAGATATGCCTTGTGGAAGTTGGGAAATTTTTGGGAATTTTGAAAAGTCAACTTTACTTCAAATGCCTCAAAATTGCTAATGGGCCACATTTTCTTCCAAGAATCATTATCCAAAGGCTATGCACGACCATTTGACCCAAAGGGGATTTATTTCATCATTTTTTATTATTTATTTGAATTTTTAATCACCATTAATTCATTTAATTAAATAAAATATGAAAAAAATACTCAAGCATGTATTCTAAATCTTTTTATGCAGCTAATAGGTCTAACATAACCTTAAGATTTCGTGCATATCTAATATGGAAAGAATCTCCAATGATTGGCATATTTGGCATGAAGAAAAGATTGGAAAAATCATGGAAGATCACAAAATTCAAAAGCATTGATTCCTTGGATATTAGGCTTGTTTTGTTACCCTAATTCATCCCTCATATAAGTCAGAACTTAACCCTAATGCATAAAACCTGGAAGCTGCGCCTCAGACCTCATACAAACTTTGCAATTTTTGTCAAAAATTCCAAAACTGAAAACACAGCTAGAGGTCGTTTCAAAGCGAGATAACTATTCCAATCGCTTGCCAAGGCATCAAGGAAACTTTCTGGATCAAAACCACGGCTTTTAACCTCAAGAAACGGTAGAACGAAACCGTCCTGTTCTTAATTTTTCTCATATTCGTGTTTTGAATTATACGCATCATTCATGCCTTTTTCTTGTTGTTTTGCACTAACATAAACATTCTAAAACTTTTGGCATCATTTAATTGAATTTTCATGCCCTGTACGAGAATCTGCCATTAACGCCTTCTAGGTTTTCAGAGGTCAAAAATTAAGGTTTCTTTTATGGGAAAAAATTATGCCATTAAAATCAGAAGCTTCACACGAATTCAGTACACATGTCGCGCTCAACTTATGAGCGACGGTGGCCTAATCGCTATTTTCTTGTACTGTAGTTAGTGGGGGTTCAAAACCCCCGCTATTTGATGTATTTTTTCAGGCTAAAGCAAAGACCAAGGAAGAAGATGCTTGCGTGTGGAACAATGATTGGTTGGTTTGAATAAATGGCGCCCTTTTTGTTTTTTTCAGCATAATCTTGATTTTCCAAATATATTAATTACGTTCCATTATACTTACGAATGAACGCGTTGGTACAGTTGGTGGAGAAGAGCATTTGCAAGCATTGGGACCTGGGTTCGATCCCCAGGTCCCCCATATTTCTTTCTATTTTTTCTTGCAACAGGATTAGGTACCTAACATGTCTTGAAGTCCATCAAACATCCAGCGCTGGTGCTTGCCACATGGCCACTGAGATCAATCCAATGGCCATGATCTGAAGAACACCATACGCATTGGTCAATGGAGCCACACGCATCCTAGAAAAGTCAACCAGGCCTCCAATAAATGGGCCAAATTGCTGGCAACTTACCTCCAAAATTGGGGTCAACACCCCCATTGGTTTGCATTCTATTT